ACGTACATACACTAGCCAGGAGCCGTCTCTTGCTACTGCTTGGTTCCGAGATGTTCGGTGTGATTCTGGATACCGCGTTGATGCTTGCTGGCCTTCACTGCTTTTTCGTAGGAGTATTCTACGAGGCTACTGAAGCCAAACGGTCGTCGACCATCACTCCCAGGCATTTCAACACGCACTTCTAGTTTATTGCGATTCTGTCAGCTCGTCTTCCACTTTAGGTCGCAAGTTCTCGTCCTCTGTACTGCCACAAGATTCAGTTGGCCGATGCCATATCGGATTTCCTGATGGTCACAATGGGTATATCCTTCACACATACTCTTCAATTCATGTTTTCCACCAGCGACGAACTGCAGTTCGCATAAAGTGACGTCGATAATGGACTTCCGGCCATCTCTGCGAAAAGTGCTGGTGGTGCCTTTATTGAACAGCCTAATTTCCAGCTTCGCCGTACCTTCCAGCTGAATGTGCCCTCTTGCGTTGGTACATCTATTTCCCCACTCCACTGCCTAATCATTGAAGACTCCTCCGATGACTACCGGTCTTCGTCCGATCAGCTCTTCGGTAAGTCCAACTAGCGTCTCGTGGAACTCCTCCATCGTCCATCGGGTGCGTGGCAACTGCATATGAATATTCCGTTAATTTTGGCGATCACGAAACCTTCTTCTTGAATGGGATATCTTCCCCTAGCTTGTATTGCAGCCATCCCAGCTCTATCCGCCATCTAGGTACCTTTATCGGGAGGGAGTGTCACAATTTGAGGTTTATTTGAGTTACCTCTGTTATTGTTGCGACAAAACAATTAAGTGTCATTTGGAGCGAAATGCTTGAGAATTCATGCTTAAAAACCGAAAATTTCAGCAAAATCTTCAGGCTGACAAAATCGGGGGTAGACAAAATCGGGAGCTGACAAAATCGGGAAAGCACTGTAGTAATTTAACAATCTTTGTACAAGGTGAGGGGATTATATAGAAAATCGAGAAACTTAGCAGAACTTCTTTGAACAGCAAGGAATTGTGTAGAAGTTCAGGGAACTTCATAGAAGTTCGGCTAGATTTTCGAGAATTTCGTGGAATTCAGAGAGTTTTGTAGAAATTCATCTAGATGTTCTGAGACCTTGGTAGAATTTCCGGGAATAGTGAATGAGACATCGGACATATTTACAAGTTCAGCAATTTTAGTTGTAGTTTGTGTAAGCTATAAACAAATCGTATAAGTTCAGTAGAAGTGGATGCGATTTTCCAACTATTCGGAGAACTTTTTTTTAAATTTAGGGAGCTTCATTTCGGTTCAGGAAAAGCTTAATGGATTGGGAAGAAGTTCAGGGAGCTTTATTTGAGTTCATAGAATATAATTAAATAAATTTTGCAGAAGTACAGGAACCTTCGTAACAGCTTTATAGAACTTAGTTTTTTTTGTCGGTCTTGTTTTCCGTACTGAATACCAATGCTATCGGCGCCAGGGAGGCAGCTGCCACACCTGGATCATACCTAACGACCCATCAACTCATAGACCGCGGACCAACGGCTTTACTTCCCTTCCGAAGGAAGGCGGTATCAGAGATGTTATGCCTCAGAAAATCCTGGCGGCGCCGACTGGGATTGAACCCACGCCTTTTGGGGCGAGAGTCAATCACGCTTACCCCTACACCACCGGCGTCGCTAGAAAAAATTAGTTGATATTAATGGATTTTTAACATGATATCAGTAAAGTTTTTTGGATGTTTTTGAAAGTCTTTAAAAATGAAGGTTTATTCAGTATTACACTGAAGATCAGAAACACTTCTTCATAAAATTTCAAATGTTTTCAAAATTAAAACATATCTTCAAAACGAATCAAAAGAATCAAACTTTATGTGAGACTATTGCGTGTAGCAAAAAAGGTGAATAAAAGATGAAAGCCAATCTTCAGCCGTGAATAGGCAATTAATCATGAAATTCAAAGTAGTAGCAGAGTATATTTTAGATAATCTGGAGAAATATCGCAATTCTTACATGCAATGCAAAAGTAGTTTTCTCCGGTATATATATGTCTTAATTTTTCTGGAATGAGCCAGCTCCTGGTCTGGGGGTAGGTAGCCCAAGTAACAATTCAGTAACAATTTAGCATCCACTCTGATTTATGATGGTTTTATAACGGCAATGAACAATCCATTTAGTTTAAAAATATAGCATTTCAAACTGTAAAACATTCCTGCTTAGTAATTCAGCTTTTTACTGTTTTAAAAACCTTTTAAAGTCTGGCAAGAAAGTCAAAAACTGTCTTGTTTTAAAAATAAATTTAAAACAGTTATCAATCCCTCCTTAAAACTGTTCTGTAATTCAAGCATAAACGTCATTAGCAATTGTTTATTAATGTCTTGATGAAATACTTTATAAACGTGTTCTATCATTATAAAAGCAACCATAAAACCATAAGATTTCGCATTAGAGCAAAAGCATTTATTGTGGCTTTTTGGGCTTTTTAAAGTGCATCATTAACTCCTCAATTACTCTGTTTAAAAATTGAGCTTAAAAGATGGTTCCTCATAGTTAATAAATGCCAAATTTATGACAAGGAAATCTCGAAGGATAGACGAAGTAGGATGAAAAATTCAAGTTGATTTCACCATCAACGACTGCCTATCTGGTGGAGAAGAGCAAACTGAGCGGGGCCCTCGATTTCATAAAACATTGTCGAAAGTATAAAAAACATACCAGCCTTCTCCAGATCTTGCGAAAAGATGACAACCGACAGCAAACCACTGAAACTGTTAGTTAGCGGAGATTAGCCGGCTTCCGATCCATACCAGCGATTTTATTCGGCGAAAGAATCAACTCTTCGAAAATTTCATTCAAGCGTACATCCCTGCATCGTTGGATGGTGCACTTCTGGAACCATCCGGAAGAAGGGGATCTTTTTCGGGAATGATTGCGCTTTCAGCTGTTCGAAATACGAAATGTTGTAAAACAGTATCGCAAACTGTCTGAGTAACCAATCTCCCAATCTAGCGGGAGAAAACCACCTGGAAGAACCCTGGATCCCACAGCGCAACTATCGAAAAATAAACAAACTTTGACGTTTAATTTTTTGCAGGCAACTTTGCCTCCATAAATGCTGCCATAAATCTGAACGGGTTAGGATCAAGCAAAATGGCTTTAGATAAATACAATTCAGCCTGCAAGTTTTCTTCATAAAAGCCATTTTAAAACCTTATTAATTTGTTAAGGATTTCTTGAAAGCAAAACAACTTTTTCACAAATGGCCCATGAAAATCAACTTTTATGCCACCGCCATGTTACAATTAGTTTGCTTGTTTTTCACAATATTCGATTTACAATCTATATTTCCATAGATATAATTATATTTTGGTATATTTAGCAATCAGTAAACATTTAAATGCGAAAATAATAAAAAAAAAATCTCGGCCAAACTCGATCTGTAGATTTTTTTTTTTTTCAATGTTAAATAATTAGTCAAATCGACGTTTTACGAGGGTGGACTTAATTTTTTCGATGTTTGCACGTACATTTCACATAAAATTTAATATGGCACTTAAAACTAGGCCACTTAATGAGAACTATTGTAATAAATTTGGATATTCAACAAGATTTCTATACAACCAGTTTCTATTTTAATTATTTTGATAAGATCGGATTCATAAATCCATTTCTATCTTGATTGATGCTTTCCTAGTGGATTCAGCATGCGGCTAGGGGAAATGGCTCGGAAAGGGTTTTTATTGTTGCTAAATAGCTTTTATTGTTGCTTTCAAATGGTTCTCAATGCGTTCGTCATACAACCTTTTGCAGTAAATCAATCTTGAAGAGCTACGAGAATACACCCTTCAGAACCTTCTCCAGGGTGGACCAACTAGACATATTCTAGTCTTAATGAGGTTTTGGTGGTTGCATTAATGACAAAATAGCCTTGACCAGGGTTTTATGAATGTTGTTTTATAGTTGCTTTGTAGTATTTCATAAAAGAAGATTACAAAGTAATGAATTAAGAAATTGTATTAGAAAGCATGAACTTGATTACAAATAATCTAGGGAATATTCTTGAAAACCTTGAAACAAGAAAATATGTTAACACTCTGTATTCTGTAAGAGATTCAACTGTCCATATCTCAGTGTTATAGGGGAAATGGCTCTAATGTTGGCCTATGGATCTAAGATTAGGCCCATCGCTAAACATTTGCTATTTTTGGTCGGTATTGGAAATTTCAGTTGTAGAATTTATGTATGGGCCCAAATTAGGGGCATTTAGGCCGACATTACATCCATTTCCCCTATATTTCGATATGTGACCACTTTTTCTCTATGTCGATGGTTCTCTTCAAATGGTATAGTAGGCTTTTCTTGTTCTACATCTCGATCTCTCCATTTATCGAAAGTCCCTTCAATATCGTCAACTCTGTAATAGAAATTTAAAAATAAAACTATGTCCTTTTTTTATGATTTGTTGTGATCCTGCAAAAAAAGAATCAGTACAGTAATGACTTAATAATTAATTGGAGAAAAAATCGTCACCAAACGAATTTCTATGGCAACGATTTCTGCAACATTTCAGGCGTGTTTTATTTCCAGTGAAACAGACAATAGCATTGGTTAAAATAAGCGGTGCGATTTTAATGTGATCAAACCTTATACAAACCTTTCGAAATCGTACATTTTCAATACCATTCCATTTTCTTTATATGAGTAAAAAAAATCATTGCTCTAACTTATGCAACGAATGAACCAACACATTTCCCATACATATTAATTGGTCACACAAAATCACTAACCTCAAAATCAATTAAATTCAACCACCATTTACGAGTGGAGCGCTCTACCATTGAACGATTGAAGTGCACTAACCGCGATTGCATCATTTTCAGCATTGCCGGAATGTATTGGAAATCTTTAATTCAACACCGCACCATAGGAACTACTCTGCAGCAACACCTGACTAATTCGATAATTACTTTCTCCCCCTCTCCCACCCACCTACTTCCGTCACCTGTTGGAATGCGGCAGTCATCATCCCGTACATCGCACTGAGCTTGCTCGCCCTGCTCAAGCTGATCGAAGTGGATCCAATCATGCCGAAAAGTCGTTCCGATAACTTCGTGCGATTTGACAACACTCAAACCAACACGGAAGCATAGGAGGACTTTTCTTGTTTTTTAGATTTTCGGGCACGCATCTTGATACCACTTTGTGCAACAGCAACAACAACTACAACAACAACAACAACAATGTTTGAAAACACGCGGTGAACGAAAAAGAAAAGGGGCCAAACTCATCAATGGTCAGGTAGGTATGCGTGATTGATCACTTAGCAGCATCACTAAACGTCGGGTAGGAAATGAGTTCGCCTCCTTTAGTGTTTCAATAGCGTCTTTCTGCTGTTGTTTGCTATTATATTGCTCTGTTACAACGAAAATTGCTCCATGATCACCGCCCGACACTGTATTACGCGATCACAAATGCGCGCGCGCATCATAACGAGTAGGTAGGCTTTTTACCCACAAACTGTCTCCCCCTTTGAGGGAAAGACACACACACACACACTGTCAGACAGTCAATGGAGATGAAGATTTTAATTGCTTATTGTTAGCTTTGGTGGTGTAACGGTGCATTTTCTTATTTATGTGTAGTTTCTTCTTCGCTATTTTTTCCTCGCGAAAAAAGCCCCGGGAGTCTTTCTATCGAACTATTTGTAAGCTCAAAACTGGAAAAACTGATGATGATGGCTACGCTCCTCTAGCAGTAAGATGAACAACAACAACAATAACAACGACGACAACATCAACACTGTGTCACCCCTTATTTATCATGTATCTTGAAGCGAATTTTAAGTAGCTATCTTTTTAACCTTGCATTTTCCCTAGGTTTAACTGAAAACCGCGACTGACTGATTTCTATATGTACTTCTAGTGTGCTAAGTTTTAATTTTAACACTTTCGCTAAAGAATGCTTTCGAGACGATTTTACTGCCACAGGATCGTAGTCACATGGACATTTGCAAACATATTTATTTCATCGCATACCTTTATTGAAGCAGATTTTATCGAACGAGTTAAGTTTTAATCGTCAGTATTGTTATGAGTAAAATAATAAACGAATCATCTGGTATTCAAATACAAAATAAAGTTTCATTTAGTATTACTATTGGAAGTTTTATTTGACCATCGAATTCCTTTGACATAATTTAATTATAAACCTTATTACGTTGTTTTTCCTTCTAATTCTACTACCATTGTATCACTTTCGCTTTTACTATTTACTGTCACTATAACTTATATAAAACTATAGCAGATACGTATTTCGTTTACTACTTGCAAACTTCTTCAGTGTCTAGTGTCTACTGTATATGACTAGATACTGAAGAAGTTTGCATGTAGTAAACAAAATACGTATCTGTTATAGTTTGTTTTTAAGTGATGGTAAAAGTGAATTAGTGAAAGTGAAATTGATAAAATGGTAGTAGAATTAAAAGGAAAAAACAATGTAATAAGCTGTACAATTATTCTACTAAAACGCTCATCAATCAATTTGGATAGTTAAATTAAAATGAAATAAATTTCGAGAATTATTTATTTTCTTAAGTCTGAGATCCAAAAAAGTTCCATTTTAGGAATTCATGTCATTTTTTTTCAATTTCAAGATTTCGGTTTTTCTCGTGGATCTCGCTTTTTTAAATAAAATTTTAATACCCAGCACATGACGATAGGCGTGTGCAGATTTCTTCATAAGGGAGAGGGAGCAGCCATCCAATGAGGGGCATATAGATTTAAGTAAGACAGATAATGGACTTGGTGCTGTTTGCTAATTAAAGATCCAAAATACTGCGAAGAATAAAACGAAGAATAAATAAAATGTATTTAATTTGAAGGTATACCAACACATAACCGTTGATTTAAACCAATTTCCATTATTTCTCAGCAATATTTCGCTATAGGGTAGTGCGCTTCTTCGTCGTAACCGCCCATTTCCGTTCTATCGATCAGAAAACATCAATCATATCAATGATTTCACCGTGCACAAATCAATAATAAGTTTGTTTCGATGCGTTAGTTCATTAGCTAAAACATAAATCCTGTTAGAGCGCATTGTATGAATATTTACGTTCATTGTTCTCAAAACAAAAGAAGCTCTCCTAGCGAATCCCCTTTTTCTACGTTTATCCGTATGACGAAGAAAATGTAATGGCGTTTCAATGCATTAGGACGGAATTGTAACTCGTAGAACGAATTTAGAATCAAGAAGCAGTATTAGATTTTAAACAATATCTCAACAATTTGTGACTCTTTTTCAAATCTAACGGTACGTATGGAAAGGTGAATAAATTTAGAAGTCATCTTTGACAGAAATGTTCCATTTTTTGTTTAAACTCGTTTAGAAAATAGAGGTAAAGCGCGGGTTGTGCTTAGTGCGACGGAAATTAGATCAAAACCCCTATAGCTAAAAGCAATATTTGAGCTTTATAGCTAATATTTCTCAACTGTGGTTTATGGGTTCAGATAATTGCAAGGACTGCATGTATTGAATTAAATAATAAATTTAAAATCATTTAAATAATAACAATAAGCACATAGTTGAAGATGCTAATTTCAAATAAAAGACTGTAGTGGTAATTTTTATACGATAGATGGAGTAGATGAAAGTATAGAGTTGATAGTTCCGTTAGAGTACGGCAGTATGAAAATTGCATATAGATAGTAGAATAGCGAGCTAGGACCACTTTTTAAGGAAGGTACAAATCGGTTTTTTCATCTCTCTTTAACAAACTCCCCCTTTGGAGAGGGATGGGGGTAAACAATAGTTGCAATTTCCAAACTTACGAAGTGCGGTAAAAAATCGGTAGAACTGTTTCAAACACATCGTTCGTACTTGAGCGGTCGGCTTTCATCTCTTTTTGCCAGTACCTCACCATTTCTCTCCAAAGGGGAGTTTGGTAAAGAGAGATGAAAAAACCGATTTGTACCTTCCTTAAAAAAGTTGTCCTAGCTCGCTATTCTACTATCTATATCCATTTTACACACTGCCGTACTCTAACGGAACTATCAACTCTATACTTTCATCTACTCCATCTATCGTATAAAAAATTACCGCTACAATCTGTTATTTGAAATTAGCATCTTCAACTATGTAACTCGTTGACTTCACGCAGAAGTAATACTAAACATATAGTCAAAGAACAATAAGTAGTTTATTATGAAATATACAAATTGACTATAGGGGGGTGTCTATAGAAACTTTTCTGATTTTTTGGATAACTGTGAAATAGCAAGATAGCGTGAAGGATGACTTTTTTTTCCGTCGATCTTGTTTTCCGTACTGAGTACCAATGCTACCGACGCCAGGAAGTCAGCCCCCACACTTGGACTCATGGACCGGGGACCATTCGCTTTACTTCCCTTTTATGCCTTAGAAAATCCCGACGGCGCCGACTGAGATTGAACCCAGGCCCTTTGGAGTGAGAGGCAATCACGCTTACCACTGCACGACCGGCGCCGCTAAAGGATGACCTCAGATCTTCTCCTAAATATGGTGAAGGTTGATCGGCAACTTCAGGGCGTTTATGGTGTCATTAGAAAGTTGCTGATTTTTGAAAAAAAATTCAAGTAGCAACGCACAATAAATTTTATGATTTTATGCTTGTCTTCGAAGTAGTCAAAGAGCGTTAAGGATGCTACAGATCTCCTCCCAAAATTATGAAAGTTTGAACTAAAACAGGTGTCTATCGAAACTTGATGATTTTTTTTTATGTTTTAAAAATCGCAGGATGATTATAAATCTCATGCTAAAATTTTGCGAGGTTGATATGCAACAACGGGTCGTTAGAGGAGTCTTAAGACATTTCTTGATGTTTTGGATATTTTTGAAATAAATAAGGATGACTACACATCATCAAAAAATTAAGGTAGTATGATTTGCAACAGTAAGACGTTTGAGGTGTCTATGGACACTTGATGATTTTTTTGATTGATTCTAATACAGCAGGAGGACCTTCTAAGTGGTTTTGAAATTTTGGGACGCTGAACAGCAACATCAAGGCATTTAAGGTGTATTTAGAAATTTGATGATTTTTTTTGGATGACATTGAGGTTGGTTATTGAACTTACACCAACAATTTGAGATGTTAATCTGCAACAACAGGGCGTTTGCGGTTTCTAGAAATTTAATGATTTTTTGGATGACTTTGAACTAGCAGAAGAACGTTAAGGATGACTACAGATCTATCCCCAATTTTTCAGAAGATGAGCTGCAACAACAGGACGTTTGGGGTGTCGATAGAAACTTCCTGATTTTTTTTTGGATAATTTTCAAGTTGCAGTAGAGGACGTTTTAAGTGACTATTGATTATGATTACATTTGAATATCTGAGGAGGTTGAATTACAGTAACAAGGTGAATGACTTTGAAGTAGCATGATACCGTTTGCGTGATAATGTTTGAACCATCGTACAAATAAGGTTCCCGTTTCACCTGTGCATACAATGCATTGCACAGTGGTCCATAATGCAGATTTAGGTGGAATTATATGTTTTGAACCTGAAACTGAAACTTTAGACTAAAAGTCTCTTCCACAAAGTTATTCCATATAGTTAGGCCCTCATTTTTATGACAATGAATTCTAGGGTGGTTCCTATTATCATTAAAATCAAAAATCTAACTTTTTTGTTTGAATAAATTAAAGTATACATTCTTCGAAAAGTTATAGCTGAGCAAATTTTAAGCAACTTTGTTGAAGATAACTTTTTTGTATCTCTTAAATTGACCGATTTAGAGCTATTTTCTTGAGTTGAGTTAGGGTGGCTCTTGAAAAAACAGTTTTTTTGTTCTAGTTTTCTTATTTCAAATTTCTCAGCAAAAGTGTCTTGGGATAACTTCTAGATCTTAAGAAGGCGCAAGTTTTTGCTGCACAAAGTTTGTCAATATCTTTCGCCGATCAAGAATTATTGACCTTTTTATACTAAAAATATGCACTTTTAAAATGTTAATATCTCTGGTTGGGGAAAACAAAAAAAAAGTTTTTTTACGGCATTTGAAAGGGCGTATATTATTCTCAATAATATGACAAAATTGGAGGTATGTTATTTTTTAAACTCGCATAAAATCAATTTGAATTTAGTCATATTTTTTACTATATTTAGGAATATCTTTTTTATTAGAAGAGATACATGTAACAAATTCAAATATTAAACATTCGTCTAAAAGAGTTTTAAAATTCTCTAGAAGATAACTTTCATGAGAAATTTCAAATAAAAAAGTTATTGGCAAAAAATGGATTTCATAGGACCACTCTAATGACAAATTTATATAAAATGTGCTAATACATTTGTTTCAATATTTGGACATTTAGTGTCTTCGAAGAAGTTTTTGTTCTTAAAAATTCCCTTCTTTTGGTGTTTGCAAACGTCAGGGTGGTCTTCAAATTAGGGAATTTTTAAAACTAACTTTTTTGTTTTACAAAATAAAAACATGTGTTGTTTAAAAAAGTTGTAGCTAAGTTAATTGCAAGCAACTTTGTCGAAGAAATTTTTTTTTATCTCTTATCGTTCTCATTTTAGAGTATTTTTTCGGAGTTGACTTAGGGTGTTCCTGGAAAAAATAGTTTTTTAGCAATAACTTTTTTATTTGAAATTTCTCATGAAAGTTATTTTCTAGAGAATTTTAAAACTTTTTTAGACGAATGTTTTATACCTGAATTTGTTGCCTGTATCTCTTCCAATTAAAAAGATATACCCAAATATAGTAAAAAATATGAATAAATTCAAATTGATTTTATACGAGTTTAAAAAATAGCATACCTCCAATTTTGTCATAATATTGAGAATTACATACGCCCTTTCAAATGCCGTAAAAAAACTTTTTTTTTGTTTGCCCCAACCAGAGATATTAACATTTGAAAAGTGCATATTTTTAGTATAAAAACGCCAATAACTCTTGATCGGCGAAAGATATTGACAAGCTTTGTGCAGCAAAAACTTGCGCCTTCTTAAGATCTAAAAGTTATCTGAAGACACCTTTGCTGAGAAATTCGAAATAAGAAAACTAAAGTAAAAAAACTGTTTTTTCAAGAGCCACCCTAACTCAATTCA